ATTTGAGTCTTATTTCTTTGAGACAACCAATGCTTGAGCAAAATATTTCCCTTCATCTCGTGTCTTATATTTCACTTCGTTTACTTTCTTATATTTCACTTAATGATCATTTAATCAATTAGTCACGAGAATCAAGATGATCACCAGGCAGAGGGAAAGAGGCGATTAGTTTGAACGCTGCCAAAGCCTTCTACATGCAGACCTCTCTGCGGCAATGACCTCCTTTGTCGTGTGTTGACAGATCATTGTGAGCTGTTCATACGCCGGAGTGAGTCAAACTTGGTTGACAAAGTCTGACGTTCTCGGGTGTACTAATGAATCGTGATGTCTGTATGATGGCAAATCAGGTGTTCAGTTCCTGAAACATCGTTCGGAATGAGCTGGAGGCATCTGCAGCGGATAAAATTACGCAAGACGCATCTGTCATTGCAGGGGCTTTAAACCCAAGGAACTATGGTTTGCTTAAATGGCCCCCTCCCTCCACATGCAGCTATTAGAAAGAGGAGTGCAATACACCGTGAAATCCGGCCTTGGAGGAATCGTTAAGGTTTTGACGTATTTCGGAATACGAACAAACTTAGATATCTATATGATGGCATATCAGGCGTACATGATCATGAAACATCGTTCGTGATGAGGTCGAGGTGGTTCTAGCGGATAAAATGATTCATGACGCATTTGTCACTGCAAGTGCTCTAAAACCTTAGTACTATCGCCTGCTTAAATGGCCTCCAAGACAACTAGGAACATAGGGGCGATGGAGGGGGACGTACCTTAAAATTTGGTCTTGGAGATGTCACTCGTCTTTTTCAGTTGGTACTTAAAGAATTTTGACGAATCATTTCTCTCATGTTCTATATCATTCAGCCAAGACAAAAATGAGACTTTAAGCCTATCATACCTTAGATGATGAAGATCGGCAACAGAATGAATTCTTTTTATTACATCTCTTAAAATAACATACTGAAATAACAATAAATCATGAATTATATATAATCTGTGAAATGCACAGATCCATTTTATGCGAAAACGCGATAAGTCATACCCGGTTTAAAGCTGTGGATACGATGCTGTAAACAACACAGTTAAGCGAATCAGCTGATATATAATCAGCTTGACACAATATTTATGAATACGTGTGCTCAAAATGGAAACCTGTCGCCTAAGTTTGAAGCATTAATATAGCCGTGATGATCTTTGATGATTTCTCACACAGTAGATTACAATACATTCTACACATTTTCAACATAAACTCCACTACCCACAGCTGATTGGCAAGAACAATGTGGACACTGGTAGTCACGGTTCCACTTTCTTATACATTGTAGGGATTATGGCAAGCCTCTGGTTTTCATCCATGCAACTTTCGTACAATTGAAGACCACAGCGCCCCAGACTGCAGGGATATTCCTGATAACGATCAAAGCGTTGAAAGATTTCTAGATGTCGTTAACCGACCACCATCTGACTTTTCCCATCACTTAGTCAGTTAAATAAATGTACGTCTCGAGTATAAGTGCTATAGGGTTTGTTCGAAGTGCTGGTTCATTAGTTGAATAGGAGAAGTTGCTTGGCACACGAAACACCGTTTTTTCATCTAACACACTCGGTACTACACACTGGGCGTTGTCGAGCGCTAATAGCGCGTACAGCCTCAAGCCGTAAGCCTCGCAGTAGTGCCTAACGTCTGGACAAAATTCAGACTTGGACCTTTACGGAAAAGTGTCTTTTATTCCGTGCTTTTGAGTTCGACCTTCAAAACGGGTAGACGCCTTGTTGATTTTCGTCATTGCGCCTCATTGCTCGATTTGTCTACAGACGTTGATAGGCAAGGACTTTAGATTTAACTCAGAACATTAAAGGTTTTCAATATTTTGTCATTTTTATACGTGACTCAATTCCCTCTTCTCAAAACACGAAAGAATGTGACTCAATTCTCTTTCAATTAAAATCAGTTTCATCCACTTTCAAAAGAAGCTCTGGAATACAGGTGTCCATAAATAATTTGTTTTCAACAAAGATGGTGGAAACGTTTTGCACTGCTTGCTGATCAGCACTAGCTTATTAGCATACCTTATGTAGCGCAGGTGGCTTGAATACTCAAATCTATCAAATAGCCCACGACTGTCTCCAAATATCTGATCCTTCCTTTGCCCTTAAGGATATGTCAAGGCCTGTTCGCTCGTTCCATGATGATCACTTGGTCCAGAGGCGTATTTCTTTGCGTTTTACCCTGTGCTGATTATCACATTAAACAGTCAGCTCTCAGGTCGGTAAAAACGAGGTACACCCAGAAGAGCCGCTCGTCAGATGGCGTTGTGGCGCATCAAACTCTCGTTGACGTTACCTCACGAGTGTCGCATGTTGTTCATTTTGTTCAAGAGTTTCAATTGACTTGATATCCGTGATTGCACCAACGGATGAGTGCACTGCAGCAATCAACAGAAGTGAATTTCTTGTTTGAAGGAATTAGCGATTATGACAAATTTTCTTCTCTTCAGACTCGAATCTGGTACCTCCGGACTTCGAAGTGTGCCTCCGCACCACCATGTCCCCACGTCTGCCATATTGTGCTGATTAAACGTCTCTCCATTTTCTCTGGCAAATTAACGTTCGAACATGTTAGTTCTGTAACAGTCATGTCAGTAGCAGAATTCGCACATATTTTCACCATCTTAGACATCTGTGTGGTCTTGCGATTTACATGCCTACAATAAACACATCTATTTAATATTGACCCGATTCAAACTGCTTTAACAGTTGAATTTTAATTTTTATTATGACGAATTTCCTAGAGTTTTTGCCTGGATGCTAACGCTGTCAGTTGCATACCCTTTATCAGTAATTATTGGCAAAATATTTTCATTAAAACACAAAGGGGCGAACTCGTTGAGAGACCATGAGCAGAATCAACTAATTGTTTTGATGCATTGAACCATTGAGCTGATGTAAACGACACTCGACCGCTGAGCGAGTTAGGATTTTAGTGGCGCCATGCCCGGCGTCCTGTCATAAAAATCCTCTATATGACATGTAGTGATAATCTGGTGAGTTCTAAGTGTGGATCTATTTTAGAGTATGTGTATGTTTAATATTTATAACTGACAGCTAACTACAGTGACGTATACGAATATGGCAGTAGAGAATGAATTTACAAACCATTACACTGGGGTATGCAACGAAGCCGTACCCCCCCCCTTATTTGTAGAAGCCCAAGAAGTCGGTTGGGCAGGTTACAGCTCCATGGGATTTGATCACCTGCCATGCATGAATCAAAACCGCTACACTGTTTAGGGTCGAACAGATGCGGGCTTGTGGTATAATTCAGGTTTTTAGTTTCAAAAAACTACCTGCCGGTGGGTCCCGGTAATGCGTTTAACGTAAAACTATTTTGAAGTATTTGCAATTTATAGTTCCCGGTCAGCTTTATTGATGAGCATCATTTCTCAGAAAACTAAGCATCATTTGCCTTAAGCAGCTACTACACTTTAGGTTTGGTCTTCTGAGTCATGAGATGATGTTAGCAAGGAAACTGATTGCATGTAATTATTTTAAAAAAACACAACATGAAGATCAATACTACGCATCTGATACGCATATTTGTTGTTCCTGAGAGAAGACTATAACATTATGAAGCAATATAATGCACATTTACACATAGGCACGAGCTGAAAAGTCAGAACTGGTTAAAAACTGAAACTGGTTCCTAGTTCATTGATCTTAGTCTTAAGCATTTATACATCATAACCGATTAAAACATAATATTTCTTATTACTTGCATTTTTGCAAAGGAAATTGGAGGCACTGGGTTTCGCACGTTTGCATCATGAGCGCATGAATCATCCAAAATCAAATTTCACACCATATCATGCAGTCTTCCTTGCTCCCAAGTGCTTAGATGAGTATTTAGGCATGTGATCAATAGAGCTGTTTGACCATGCCCGATGATAACTGCATATCGCGCTGTTTTATTGGCTGAAGCAATATCACGCAGGATCAAAGGATGCCCCTCGAAGTGGAATGCTTTACATGGTTTTACAAAATATCTGCTTCGTTCATATAGCAAATGATCGATCGCCGGGTAGCGGGAGAAACTGCCAACAAGTTGCCATTGTTTCTCATTCACAAACAATAAAACATATGAATACCTGCAAAACATTATGCTAATGAGCCTTTTAAGTCCTTCAAAACTCGATTTCTTGGTGAAGTGTTCCATCTTCTTGGAGGGGGGAAGGGTGAGGGGTATTTAAGCAGGTCATAGCAAGATAGGAGAATATTCGTTCGAATGCAGCAAGAGTAAAACAGGATTTACTAGCTTTGCCGCGTCTCATTTATCGCATTCATTTTTTTGAGTTATAGGCCCTCATTCTGTCCCTCCTACAAGATCATATATGATAATCGTGAGGTGACCATTGACAGCATTCAGATAAAAAGTAATTTGTCGATCCTCACTGGTCCAAGTCGCTTAGCCTTAAAATTTAAACTAGCAGTTAGTCTCT